TCAAGCCATTCATATTACACACGCACCCCATCACACTCAAGCCGTTCATATTGCACACGCACACCATCACACCCAAGCCATTCATATGGCACACGCACACCATCACACTCAAGCCATTCAAATTACACACGTACACCATCACACTCAAGTTATTCATATGGCACACGCACATCATCACACGCAAGCCATTCATATTACACACGCACCCCATCACACTCAAGCCATTTATATTTCACACGCACACCATAACACCCAAGCCGTTCATATTACCCACGCACACCATCACACGTCAAGCCATTCATATTACACACGCACACCATCACACTCAAGCCATTCATATTACACACGCACACCATCACACTCAAGCCGTTCATATTGCATACGCACACCATCACAAGCAACCGCACCACCACATCACAGTTAACCACCGGATGTTCTATTTACATGTAAGCAGCTAGGAGTGAATCTGTGGCGACAGACCACAGTCAACTACAATTCGCAACCTCACTACCGCACAGCGGAGCGCTGCAAGTGGACGAATCTCCGCTCGCAAAGATATGTTCGGAACCAGCCAATAAGAGCGACCGGTCTATAAATAGAACTGCGGATATATATAGAACTGACCACGTGCGGCCTCCTCTGGTGGCGCGCAGTGCGAGTGTAGATATGGGCGATGCGATGGATGTCATGATCTGCGAACGGTTCATACCGATGAAGTCACAGAGCGTCCGAAGGGTCATCCTCTACGACGACGGTGTGTGCATAGCCACGTGCGTGAGCAATGGACGGTGTGGGAGTGGCTGTGAAGGAGCGTCATAATACGATATATCATGTCATGTCATACGAGATCCCTTGGCCTGTCATGCCTTATTATATTTCTGGGGCTAGTGCGTTTGTTATTGCTTTCGAGCACATACCTACCCTCTGCCCAGTCACCGCACCATATCTTAACACTGGAGTGTATGTGCTGCTGCACTCTCTCAGCGCATTGACTGCGTAGGCCCATTCCATTCTGCGGCTTTTTTTGCTGCCAATATTTCGCACGTCCTTTGACACTCTCGCCTGTTTTCTCAGCTTCCTTGTCTTTGTTTATTTATTTTTTGGCTTTCAAGTAATACTATTACTGTAAGTGTGCCTATTACACTATTTATTTTGGCTTTCTTGTAGTACTATTATTCATGGTGTACCTATTCTACTTTTTTTTTGGCTTCCCAGTAGTACTATTATTTTATAGGTACCTATTTTATTATTTATTTTGAATTTCCTGTAGTACCCTACCTATTTAACTATTTATTTATTTTGGCCTTCGAGTAATACTATAATTTTAGGTGTACCTATTATACTATTTATTTTGGGCTTTCCTGTAGTCCTATTATTTTAGGTGTACCTATTATACTATTTATTTTGGCTTTCCCGTAGTACTATTATTTTAGGTCTACTTATTTTTACTATTTATTTTGGCTTTCCTGTAGTGCTTTTATTCGAGGTGTACCTATTTTACTATTTAATTTGACGTTTCTGTACTACTATTATTTTAGTATACCGGTTATATCAAGTATTTGACCTACCTATTATGCTATTTCTATGCAGTGGTTAAGCTGAAAGAGCCGTGGGAGATCAAGCGCGAGCGGGTGCGCACCGCCTCGCCCTACGGACACCTTCGCAACTGGAATGTGTTGTCGGTGATTGTCAAGGTAGTGAACACAGTGGTTATTAACAGCGCATTGTGTTGGCATGGGGCGTGTCCGAGGGACCTCGATTAGAGTGCACGTGTATGGATAGTATTTGCGTACCTGATTATGGATGGTTGTCATGGATGTTTGTCATGCATGGTTCTGAATGTGTTCGTTGCAATATGGTGTCATCGTCAAGATAATTTGATAACAAAAAGACCACATTGTGTGTGCGTGTATATATATATATATATAAGACAGGCGTCGTGTGATACAACCCAAGAAAACCCACTCGGCCATCATCTACTTCGCCGCTTCGTGAAACAGCACTCAATAATAACTCCCCTAATCAATGGGAGTGCGAAGTGAAATGCGCCCACACACAGATGACCTGGTGTAGTCCATGGGCTGCCGCTGATCCCGTGTTTAACTATGGATACGGAGAGGTGATGATTTGCGACAGGGTGTGTGGGCGTCGCAATTGCTAATCACGAGTTTTATTACGGGTGCAGAGCGGTGATGATTTGCGACAGGATGTTTTGGCGTCGCAATTGCTGTTACAATTCGAGCTGATCTGGAAGACGGAAAAGGTCGATCTGTGGCTGCGACCGTAAGTTAGTGCGATGTGCCTCTCCACACCATCAGACCCTTTTCCCCTGCAGTTTCTATGTTGTAGTGTATATCTTTGTTCCATGTTGTTGTGTATATCTTTTGTTCCATGTTGTTGTGTGTACCTTTTATTCCAGTCATCTTAAGCACGCCTTCTAATGTGCCCCACTTTTCTCCCACGGGGCAGTGTGCGCGCGATGATCACATCTAACAACAGTGGGATCATCGAAACCATCCACGACGCCATCTCCATCCACTCCATCAAGAAGCACAACAACGGCTCTCTCTACGAGTACTTTGTTCAGGTGTGCGGGTGTCTTCACTCAGGGTTTAGGTTTCTGTTTCAGGATTTGGAGTTCAGGTGTTGGTATCTTTATTTGTTTACATATATACAATGATTGATGTCCTGCAAGGGCTTCGGGTTCGGTTGTGGATTTTGAATGTACTGTGCGGGTCGACACAGATTTCAAACGTGTACCATACACTAACATTTAATTATGTATGCATCATATACCTATGTTTGTATTATATACCTATATTTGTATTATATACCTATTTGTGTATCATATATCCATGTTTGTATTATATACCTATGAATGAATCATATACCTATGTACGTATTATATACCTATGTATGTATTATATACCTATGTATGTATTATATACCTATGTATGTATTATATGTATGTATTATATACACCTGTGTATGTGTTATATGCATGTATTATATATCTATGTATGTATTATATGTATGTATTATATACCTATGTATGTATTATATACCTATGTATGTGTTATATACCTATGTATGTACTATATACTTATGTATGTATTATATACCTATGTATGTACCATGTACTTTGTATGTAACAAATACCCATATATACATCGTATACCTATGTATGTATTATACCTATGGATGTATTATACACCTATGTATGCAATTATATATTTATGTTTGTATTATATACCTATGCATGTAGTATATACCTATGTCTGTATCATGTACTTTGTATGTATCATATACCTATATATATATATCTTATACCTGTGTATGTATTGTATACCTATGTATGTGTCTTGGGGGGCGTTAATAGTGAGAATTATCCTCTTATAGTCACTGCCACTACGCCGCAATACTACCGCAAACGCTTCACAGACGCCTTTCTGTTTGTGTCTGTTCATTAATTAACTACTCAAGCAGAGTATGTTCAACAAATTATCTTAGACACGCAGTATCTTTATCAAATAATCATATACGCAGCAGTATCTTCAGCATATCATCTTAAACACAGCATTATCTTAATACATCATCGTAAACACAGCAGTATCTTCAGCATATCATCTGAAACACAGCAGTATCTTCAACACATCATCTTAAACACAGCAGTGTCTCCTGCATATCATCTTAAACACAGCAATATCTTCAGCATATCATCTTAAACACAGCAGTATCTTTGGCATGTACTCAGCTTCCATTGTCTCGGCTTTGCAGGAGTATGGGCCCGTTGGGTGTCCCCGATGGAATAAAGCGCAGTACAACTTCATCCAAAGCATGGCTGCGTATTCGTTGGTCGCCTACTTCTTACAGGTGTGTGTGGTGTGTGTTATGTGTGTTGTGTGAGTTGTGTGTGTTGTATGTTGTGTGGTGTGTTGTGTGATGTGTGTTGTGTTGTGGGCTGTGTGTAGTGTGATGTGTTGTGTGTTGTGTGTTGTGTGTTGTGTGTTGTGTGTTGTGTGTTGTGTGTTGTGTGTTGTGTGTTGTGTGTTGTGTGTTGTATGTATAGTGTGTGTGTTGTCTGTTGTCTGTAGTTCGTGGTCTGTGGTGTATATAGGCTACGTTGAGGTGCGTTCCGCTCACTCCCAATACACTTGAGCCGCACATGAGAGTTGGATATCCTATGACAGGTGTTGTCAAGTGGGTCGTCCTTGTGTAGGTACGCCTAACAGCTCACTGCGAAGTTCGGAATACATACGCTGCTCTATCAGGTGTTGTCTGTAGTCGGCCCGTGCCAAGTACTCGTCAAACCGCCCGCTCAAATCCATGTGTTGGAACCCTAAACCCTACACCTTAAATTCTGCACCTGCACCTGCACACAACCCTCGTCCCTAGTCCGATGCATTACTCAAACGCACCTGACCCGTGTCTCACTCGTCCGAAAAACCTCTCACACGCACCTGTCCCGTGTCTCGCTAATCGAAAAATCCTCTCAAATGCACCTGTCGTGTGTCTCGCTAGTCCGAAAAACCTCTCAAACGTACCTGTCCCGTGTCTCGCTCGTCCGAAAACCATCTCAAACGCACCTGCCCCGTGTCTCACTC